CGGAAGAGGACCTGCTTTCCAGAACCTCGCCAGCTACGGTGAATACAACAAGTTCTAATGCGGCCCAAGTTGGTTCCAACCATAAGTTGTTGCCTGCTGATAGCCGGCTGGTACTCTGTGTAAGAAAGTGGCCTGGTGGTAGAACTCATTATGTTCAATGGGATGCATATCTATTGTGTAAGATTAATTCATGTAGTTTGCCTTAAAAAGAACTGCGAGAAAATAAACTTTGAAAGCTTTAAAAGATGCTGTGGATGAATTGCCTAGAACTGGTTCTTGTGACTCTGAGTAGAATTGGGTATTTTGGATTCATGAAGAAGTGGATTTTTTTTTTTTTGAGCTTATCCATGTCCTAAAAGCTACCAGTAGAAATCATACAGGATGCCTTTATAGAGATGTTGGCTTCGGTCTGACAAAGTTGGAATTACGGAGAAAATTGTGGATTAGATGTGGATGAAAGAATTATTTGATCCACAAGTAGCAAATACAAAATAAGATGGCTGCCAAAACTATACCAGTGAAGCAGAAGTTAAAAGAATGGGCTCAAAAGAAAGGTTGTATAATTGTACTATGACAAGATATTTTTAAAAAATAATAGTTTGAAATTCTTCTCTGGCTAATGAGTTTCTGTTTTTCAGTGTTTGTCCCATTTCCCATGCCTTCCTTTTCTCAGAAGAGACAGAAGTTCGTCTCCAGCATCATGGCCATGTTCATCTGAAATTATTTTAAAGCACAGTCAGCTATTTTTCATCTCTGTTTATTGTCATTGTCCTTTACTTTCTCATTTCCATTTTTCCATATGCATTCACGGCCTGCCTCATTACAGAAATGTGCTCCAAAGATTGGTCTCCTCACAGTGACCTGGCTCCTCACTGCTGCTTCGGGCTGGGGAAATGTACCGAGCCTCAGATGACGGGATGCAGGAAAGTGGGTGGAGTGTTTTCTGCAAGCGCAACTCCCTGCTTCTAGCGACTTGACTACTACAATTTTATACTGACAAATCCATCTGATTTTAAATATTTGAAAATTCACCAAAAACAGAGCAGTTTGCTGTTCGCATTTTTTAGCTAAATGTTAACAGTTGGATCTTGCGTATGTTCCCTATTGTCATTTCTAATTTAATTTTTATATGTCAAATATACTAAATTGTATAATGTAAAAATTATGCTGAATTTGAATTCTTTAAAGAGAAGGTATTCTGTCTTCTTTGTCTTTAGATCACTTATAGGACTTTGATTCACATTGACTTCATGTAATTTCCATAAGCTTTCACTAATCACACAGAATCTCCTCTTATTGTTCTGTTCTTAGCCTTCATTCATTTCCATCATCATCAGGTATTCTCAGATCATTCTGATGCTTTCCATGAAATTACTTTGATATCACAGATGTCTTTCCATAAGAGTATTTAATGGCACATGCTATCAAATGTATTGACATTACAATGTTGCTGTAATTTTGATATTGTGGGTTGCAGTCAACATTATGGAAAATACACTGATTTTTTATATGGTATTTCCCAGGACTGTTTGTATTTTTTAAATACTAGTTTTTTTCAACAATATCTAAAAGTTTGTGCAAAGAAACAAGTGTTTTTGCATCTTTGTAGTTTTCATATGAAAGTGACATTTTAAATTCCAACCTAGGAATGACCTTTTTATATTCAGTACATTTTTACTAAAAGCAAATAAAATGAATAGATTTTTACATCAGAATACTCCTATTTCAGATCAAACTGTAAAATTTATTGGAGGGTTTGATTGATGCTATTGTACTCAATTGAAGTGAAAACTTGAAAATGTAGTATTTGGGAGCTCAGACTCTTTTTTTTTTAAGTTTTTACTAGCCCTGTTTAAATCTATGGAAGTAGTAAAAGCTGCACTTAATATGATTCCACAAGTGCCTTGCTTTGCAGCACAATTCCCATGTAAAATGTGACCAGGTACAATAATATAATTGTACTGACAACTGTCATCATTTTAATGCTGTAAGGTTGCATTATTTTTTTTAAACAGCTCTTGAGCATTTGTTTGAATATTCAACCTAGTATTTTTAAGCTCTAGATTTTTTTTCATAGACTCTCCAAGATATTTAAAATAGCAATGTTGATTTAAAAAAGAAAAATGAGGTATGAGAAAACAATAAAAGTATAACCTTCTCATGCAGGTATTACACGTGTCAAATGTCCATTTTTTTTCTGTGAACATCTATTCTTTAAATAATCTTGAAGCATGGCCTGAAGCTCAACAAAATCACCTTTTTTTCTCAGATTAAAGGAGAAATGTCTTCCATTTGTGTTAAAAGTCCTGTGACTGTGCCCCCCGTATTAGTGTGTAATGTTTAAATTTGGGATATGACAGACTGATTACACTTGAGTTAGTCTACATAGATCTCTCTTATAGTGGCTATAGCATTGTTTTGCGTAGGCTCCTGAAAACAGAGTTTAAAAGATTTTTTTTAAAAAAAAGGTCTTTGAAATAAGTTAATATCTGAAAACTTTGTTTTATTTTCACCTGTGTTATGATACAGCATCACAGAATTTCGGAGGTCAGAAGGGACCTCTGGGGATCATCTGGTCCAACCCCCTGCTCCAGCAGGGACACCCAGAGCACGGGGCACAGGGTGGCATCCAGGTGGATTTTGAAGATCTCCAGAGAAGGAGACTCCACAGCCTCTCTGGGCAGCCTGTTCCAGGGCTCTGTCACCTTCATAGTTGATAAGTTTTTCCTCATATTCAAGTGGGGCTGGTCATCACTAAAGAGTCTGAGCCCAGTCTCTTGGCAACCTCCCTTAAGGTATTTATACACATTAGTAAAATTACCTCTCTTTAGGCTAAACAGGCGCAGCTCTCAGCCTCTCCTCATAGGCAGATGCTCCTCTCTATAGCTCTGTGCTGGACCCTCTTCAGTAGCTCCATAACCTCCCTTAAGGTATTTATACACATTAGTAAAATTACCTCTCTTTAGGCTAAACAGGCGCAGCTCTCAGCCTCTCCTCATAGGCAGATGCTCCTCTTTGTAGCTCTGTGCTGGACCCTCTTCAGTAGCTCCATACCCCTCTTGTACTGGGGAGCCCAGCACTGGACACAGCACTGCTGGTGTGGCCTCACCAGGGCTCAGCACAGGGGAAGGATCATCTCCCTCGACCTGGTGGCACCGCTCTT